TTTTTTTTTGCGGGCGGGGGGGGGGGGGGCGCTAGATAAGATATAATCAATACCATTCATCTGTACACAGATAAGATTAGATAGCAAGGAGGTTACATGAGTACCCGGAGACGAGCTCCGTCCACGTATCGCTTTCTCTGTCTCACTTGTCTTCTGACAGTAATAACTTCTGCGGCTTCCTGCCACTGAGGGCGCTGTAGTTCAACAAGTTTCTTTGGGGGTGCTCTCTTGCTGCAAACTCTCTTCGCCGACTTCCTCAGTCGCTGAAGCTGAAGCTGTGCTTCCGCCCGGCAATTGCAGCTGCTCGTTCTAAGTGGGTTTTGCCGGTGCTGCGGTGTGCGCGTTGAAAACGTACTTTGTTGGCTGGCCCGCATGTCTTTGCCGAGCTCGGCGATGAAATTCCACAGAATCCTTGCTCAATTCCCTCAAGAGCTCAGCTTCGCCTTTGCTTATGGCTCCGGTGTCTTCCAGCAAGCGGGGGCCTCTGCAGGGGAAAGCGAGGTGAGAGCGGCCGGATGGAATGGTCTCCCACGGGAGGCTTGTGCGGCGCCCCTTCTCTAGCTGTAAAAATCATAAAGTGTACACGTTCCTTGTCTTTTTGAAAGCCGATCCTCTTAGTGTCTTCCTTGGCAGAGGGTTAGGATTTTGGGTTAAAATGAAGGCGTTCAGAAATTCTGCATTTGAAGCACCTGCCCCCCTTTCCGCTCCATCAATCAGCCTTTGCTATCTCGCACTCCCTAGCACAAGGCAGCATAATTGCAGACAAAACCAGCATTAGAGTCCTTCATTTTTGATGCTTAAATCTGGAAACCATAACGTGTTATCTGTAAGGGCCAGCTGCCTCCCTCTAAGTTTCTCTTTCTTCTTTTGGTAGGCAGTGCACGAGCCATGGAAGAAAAGGTAGGAGGCTCTGAATGGAACCCATAATCCCCATCTGCTTAAATCCACCAGTTCAGCTCTCCATGTAGTTGTCTGATGTTGTAGTTAAGGTAGGGTGTTGGGGTGGGGTTCTTAGTTTGAGTGATGTGGATAGATAGCAAACTTAAGCCGTAGTCAGTTCATTTCTAACACACCAGTTTATTTAGACTAGTATAAAATGTGCAATCATTAAAATTCTCATGAGTAGTTATTGGGTAGTTATTGGGCTTGTTGGATACACTCTTTGGTTCAGTTTTTTTCCATGTGCTGTATAGCTTTGGTATGAAAGTCACCTAGGCTTGACTTCTTGCTATTCACTATGGTCAAGCCCTGATGTATTGTTTACTAAGCCACTCACTTTGCAGACCTTATAACTAAAGTGGGCAAACTAATTTCATCAACTTTTTGCTTGTTCCTAGGTATGGAGTTGAATGTTGTCTGATGCTTATGCTCATGATAGAGAGATCAATGCCTTCTGCTTTCTGTTGTGTTTGTAGAACAATATGCTGGACTTTGTGTTTGCTGTGGATGATTCCGTATCATGGCACAAGAGGAACCTGTCAAAGAATCGCAGTCATTATTCCTTTTTAAAATACTTTGGAGCCAAGAGAATCAATAACGTCCAAAACTATGGAGCAGGGATTTACTACAATACGTTAGTGCCTTGTAATGGCAGGGTAAGTAACTATGGGTTGTCTCTGAGCAAGATCCAAGTTTGAGGGAGGGGTCACAGCCAATGTTCCCTCTAAGCTGTGGAGTCCCATGAGCCAAAATTCTACTTTGTGAGCAACTGGCATTAAAGTTGTGAGCGGGCGACTTGGCTACTGCCTAAATTAGTTTGCTCTGGAGCCCTCCTTCCTGAGCTAAGACAAAAATGCGTGAGCCGGAGGCTAAAAAACTGTGCGAGCAGGGATTTACTACAATACGTTAGTGCCTTGTAATGGCAGGGTAAGTAACTATGGGTTGTCTCTGAGCAAGATCCAAGTTTGGGGGAGGGGTCACTCACAGCCGACTGATAAAGTAACTGCTTTGCATGCAGAAGCCACTAGGTTGAATCCCGGGCATCTCCCGTTTAACAGTATCAGGTAGCAGCTTATATGAAAAACCACTTATGCCTGAAAGCTTGAAGAGACCCTTCAGTCACAGTTGATACTTGGTGGGCAGTGCTGTCCTACAAAGAGCTATTCCAGTTTCAGCCAATGGGTTTAGACTGGAAGAAGAAACTGGATTTATACCCTGCCCTTCACTACCCAAAGTTGTCTCAGAGCGGCTTACAAACTCCTTTCCCTTCCCCTCCCCACAACAGACACCCTGTGAGGTGGGTGGGGCTGAGAGAACTCTGACACAAACTGCTCTTTTTCAAAGACAGCTGTGCCAGAGCTTGTGACTGACCCAAGGTCACATCAGCAGGTGCAAGTGGAGGAGTGGGGAATCAAACCTGGCTCTCCCAGATTAGAGTCCGCATGCTTAACCACTACACCAAACTGGCTCTCTGGAGTAACTCTTTTTGGATTGCACTGCTAGTTATTGATTTGTTTACTTCATTTATAAAGTGCCTTTCTCCACCATGCTACCCAAAGTGGTTACCATCATTCTGCTCTCCTCCATCTATCCTCCTCACAACAACCCTGTGAGGAGGTAGGCTAGGCTGAGTGTGTGTGACTGGCCCTTAGTCACCCAGCAAGCTTCTGTGGTGGACCGGGCATTCAGACCTGGAGTCTGTCATATCGTAGTCTGCACAGTTTAACTGCTACACCAAACTGGCACCGATTAGATGGATCAGTGGTCTGGTTCAGTGTAATATGGCTTTTTATGTGTTCATGAAGGAGACATGCCAGGTGTTGACATCTTCAGAACTTCGCATGTAATTAAAATTGTTCTAAATGTTTTTTTTGTTTGTTTCATAAAACTGTCCGTAGATTTTGATTTTAACTTTCTGTTGTAACCTGCTTTAAGAGGTCCTTTTTTGTCAAAAAGCTGGACATAAATTAGAATAGAATGACTTGTATAGCATACTGATGCTGAGACTTTATTTAGATACTTCTACCCTGCTTTTCTCCCTAGTGGGTACCCAGATCAGCTCACAATATTGTTTTCCCCTTCTCCGTTTTCCAACAACCCTGTGAGGTAGGTTAGGCTGAGAAAGAAGTGACTGGCCTGTGGTTTTCATGATAGAGTGGAGATTTGAAACGGGATGTCCCCAGATCCTAGCCTCTTTAACAAACTACACCACACTCCAGTAACTTGCAGCCTTCCATTACAAAAAGTTATACCATTATGGCTAACATACTTCAAGTTCCACAGTGCATCTTGGGGCTGGTTTGCACACTAAGAGATATTTGCTACTGCATAACTTGAAGGGCTTCTCTCCCCCATCTGAGTGATAAGATTACTCAAAAAGGGAGCAGCAGAAATTGCCAGTGTGAGTGTCTTTAGTTCCTTCTTCTTACTGCCAAGCAGTGTTAGGAACAAGCTTTCTATTGGCCAGAGTGTTCAGTTCATGGCAAAGCTTTGTGAATGACTAGGGCTTCCCATCCCAAAGGCGCCTTTTGTCACTTGACACAGTCTAATATCTTTTATTGCAACTAACCCAGTGACACATAGCAGTGTGCAAGCTTTTGAGTTCTCTGGAAATCTTTTTTTTTATGTCAAAACTTTTATTTTGGATATAGCAACACATTCAACATTACATTACATTTCATTTATCCCATAGCCATTTTTCTTATCCCCTTCCCCCCCCCCCTTTGTGGCTTCTCGCAATGCTCCTCCCCCTTTCCCATTTATATTTCTATTTTTCCTTTCCCATTATCATCTTAAATTTCAAGGTAACAATATCTTAAACTAAACATTCCAATCCTTTATATGTTTCTGCCCTTAATAACTATCAAAACAAAGTAAATTATGTTTTACATCCCAATTTTTTGAGTTCTCTGGAAATCTTAAATCAGGCCAGATATTAACCTGCTACTCCACCAGCCTCTTTTTTTGCAGACCTTTCAAACAGAGTAAGATTTTGGCACTTTGAATGTGAGATAATTATTGGCATTGTTGTTATTTGTATGGCATTTTCACTTTTTTGTAACCCTTAAAGCAGCCCTGTAGGTGGGCAAGTACTACGTAGAGCAGTGTTTGGGGACTGACAGAATAATGTCATGCCTAAGACTGCTTAGTGGGTTTCAAACCAGAAAAGTCCTGCTTTGGAGCTTGGTCTCATAGCCCCTCTGATACACAGGTATCTGTAGTAACTTACACTTGGCTTGGGGTTCATGGTGCAACCCCTGAGGAAAACAGCTTCTTGCTTCATGTTTCTCCGTTCTTTTCAGAGGGGCAAAACTAGACACAGTGCTGTCCTAAACAGAATTCTGTCCTTCTGAACCTGTTAATATCAGTAGATGTAGAAGGGTGTAACTACATATGATTTCACTGTTGGGGAACTAGTCTCTACAGGATTCAGCTTCTCTGCCTATTTCTCTTTCAGTCCTCCATTTTGGCAACTGTATATGTAACCCTGATCTATTTATTTATTTATATTTATTTATATCTTCGATTTGTATACCGCCCTTTACCCGAGGGTCTCTGGGCGGTTTACGGGTATATGGCCTAAGTGCCTAATTAGTTCCTATCCTAGGGCCACAATTCGACTGGGGGAGGGGTTACCTATCGACACCCGAGCAGCGCAGTCCTGTTGTATTCCACGGGCAGGCTTCCATTGTTTCTTCCTGGCGCCTTAGGACGGGTCAACGACATCTCCTGGCAGGCTCCTGATGGACTCCTCCGGCGCGCGGCGGCTCCCAATTGCAGTTCCGGCCTTTGTCCCTTAGGCTCCGCCGCACTGCATCGTTACGCCGTCGCGCCGCCATCCCGCCGCCGTAGCTCTGCCTCCATCCGGTCTCCGTCGCTGCCACATCTATGGGTCGCCTCTATACTTCTGCAATTAATTCTTTTTTTTTTCTTTCCTGTTTCAGGTTATAAAATATGGTGTTATTGGTACTGATATGCTGATTGAAGATTTACTTCGCTGGAAGACGCTCTATGTAGCTGGACGTCTTCATAAGCCGGTAGCTGTTCAGCTCATTTATACATTAGGGTTGGCTGAAAGCCAAGGCAATAGGAACATGGCAGAGAAAACAGTGACAACATGATGAATGGGTGGAATGGGGACACTGAATTCCTGTGGCATTAACTAGATCATTCACTTACATTTGAAAGTGTTTTGAAAAGATGGTAAAGCAGTTTTTGTGTTCCATCTAAGTGGCATTTTGGAACCAGATGATGGTGTTCCCAGACTTGTTTGCAGCTTTTGTAGCAACTCATGTTACAACGGGCACAGTGGGAAGCAGTCATCCCCTGCCTCCCCCTCCCCATATTGCACTTTCTGCAAGTGCAACCTTGATCTAGCAGAGGTATTCAAGTTTGTTTCTGTGGGATGAAGGGAAAGAAGCAGACCTTAGTCCTTCTGTTTCTTAATCCCCCCCGCTCCTTTTTTTATGTGGTGCTTTGTATAAGGGCTCATCTGGAATGGTAAAGTGGCAGCTGCCACCCAGTAGTCTATTCCAGGCTGTACAGTATAGGGCTTGAACAGGCTGACCAGAGCACAGATTACGTAGTATTCTTTTTTAAAACAAAACATAGATCGTACGTTAATTGTTTTTGTGTTCCATCTAAGTGGCATTTTGGAACCAGATGATGGTGTTCCCAGACTTGTTTGCAGCTTTTGTAGCAACTCATGTTACAATGGGTACAGTGGGAAGCAGTTATCCCTTGCCTCCCCCTTCCCATATTGCACTTTCTGCAAGTGCAACCTTGATCTAGCAGAGATATTCAAGGTTGTTCCTGTGGGATGAAGGGAAAGAAGCAGACCTTAGTCTTTCTGTTTCTTAATCCCCCCCCCGCTCCATTTTTTATGTGGTGTTTTGTATAAGGGCTCATCTGGAATGTTAAAGTGGCAGCTGCCACCCAGTAGTCTATTCCAGGCTCTACAGTATAGGGCTTGGACAAGCTGACCAGAGCACAGATTACATAGTATTCTTTTTAAAAACAAAACATAGATCATATGTTAATTCGCCTGAAGTCCAATCAGCTTCCATATGCAAAAGACCAGGTTGTCGCAGCAGTTGTGGTGTGGGCGGGACCCGGGCTTTGCCTTCTGATTGGTGGCGATATATGCTGAGGAGCAGTGCCATCAGCCATACACTAAGGGAGTGCATTTTAGAATTAGAACTTTGGCACCCACTATTCAATTATATATAAGGAGAGAAGTGCTGAGGTGTGCCTCTGAGTATTATATTCTCCAGTTGGGACACAAACTCACAGGGCTGGATTGATAGAACCAGTTTTTCTGATGGAAAAAAAGCAAAGAGGTGTCCCCTGTGATCACTCAAAAAAGGTTGTATTTGTACATGATGCCATGTGGGGTGGGAGCTGAAATAAGGAAGCAAATTGACTGAGTGGAAAACTGGGTCCAGTCCACAGTCCGGAGATTTCATTGTATGTATTTCAGGTATTTTGATTGACCACTAGATGGAACCAGAGTTAAGCCAAACTGAAACAGATTTTAAATTCAGCCTCAGATTAAAAATAAAAGATATGGTAATAGTGTTGATACCCTCTCCCCCTTTCACACTTAGTTGCATGCACTCTCTCTGTCTCCCCCTGCTTTGGGTTGAATTTTTTAACCGAGTGGAATGTTGCAGCTGCCTCAGTCCCCTGAAAATGAAATCATGATGGGGTGCTCCTTTCAACCCGTTGCTCTGCAGTGCATACTAAACTAAGTACAGTCCCTGAGAGGACTATGCTGCATAGAAACAACAAGTAGGGAATGGTCCACAGGGTATGTTTGGAGGCTGTGTGATGCTGCAAACTTGCGAAATCTGAGCCAGTCTGGGTCAGGACAGTGCCCAAATGGGAGACCCACTGGGAGCCCTGTGCATTCGGTCGTGGAAGATAATAATAATAATAATAATAATTAATAATAATAATAATAATAATAATAATGTGAATAAAGTACGGATTCAGATAATACTGTTTTTAAGAACTCGTTCATGCAGGGCTGGCATCAACATACCCTGAGCTGCCAGGGCCCAGGGTTTCTGGCAGGACCCACTGCTGCAGAATCCCCATTACCCAGACTGGCCTAATTAATTAATTGGTTAAGAACATAAGAGACGCCAATGTTGGATCAGGCCAAAGGCCTATCCAGCCCAACACTCTGTATCACACAGTGGCCAGAAATACCAGGTGCCATCAGGAGGTCCACCAGTGGGGCCAGGACATTAGAAGCCCTCCCACTGTTGACCCCCCCAAGCACCAAGAAGACAGAGCATCACTTTCTCCAGAGTCCCTATCTATACCTTG